CCCATCAAGGAGCTCAGGAGAGCAGGGATGTCACAGCACCAAAACCCCTCCTGCTCCTTCCCACAGGCATTAAATGGCCCCCTCCCTCCCAGGCACAGCAGGTGGAACATCCCAGCTGTCCCTCTGTTCCCATTGTCCCCTTGAGTGTCACACAATGCCACCAACTCCTTCCCTGCAGCACAGGGCACGGCCTGGATGCCACAGCCACTCACAATCCTGCTGCTAATTATAGCCAGGCAGGGTCTGGAATAAATCTGCTCCCTGACACCACAGCCCTGCCCCTCTCCTGCCCGCAGGTCCCCACAGCTCCCAAGGTCACTCAGACATGGAACACCCCTTCAAACACCTTTGTTTCTCCTTCCCCTCTGTAACACCATATGGAAACATCCCACAGGGATGAGGCTGCTCCTGGAGTTAACATTTCCCAGCCCAGCTCTCCTAAGAACCAGGATTTCTGCAAGTCACTAAATGGTGAAGCTTTAATGAACAATTTTGGGTGTGCAGCTGCAGCTGGGCCTCACTGTCCCTTCCCAGCCTGCTGTTCACAGCTCTCAGTGTTGATTCCAAGCTATGTCTGACATGGCCTGGAATAGGCATATGGATGCCTCTGTGTGGAAAGGGTTGGATTACACTCACAAACCCCTTCCTGAAACCCAATCAGTTTTTTTTTTAATGGTAATTTATAGATTAACCCAAGAGAATGCACCCCATCTGTGTAAGTACCATGTGTGTCACCCCATTGGATGATGCCATGATCACAGGAAGGGACAGCCTGTCCTGGTCCAACAGAAAATACTTCAAATTGGAAAGGGCAGCCTGGCTTGCAGAGAGCTCAAAGGAAAGTTTTCTTTATCCAAGGAAAGCTTGAGAAGGACATTTATAATGGTCTTAACTGTGCTTCACTTCATTCCCTTCTGAGAGAGAGGAGATATCACCTACCTTACAGGATTTAGGGCTAAATATCAACAAACTCTTCTCCTACAGAAAGAGAAGGGTTTTTTTCTGGTTTTATTTTTCTCCTTTTTTTAATTTAGAAAAGCCATTGCAGATCAGCACCACACACACACACACACAGAGTGTCTGATCCCTCACTCTGGATATCAAATCCCACTCCAGGGCTGGGCAAGACTCCTGTTCCAGCACTGAAAAGCTGAAGCAGTTGCCATGTGCTGGTTTGGTTTCCTGGCTGCAAACACTGCAGGGCTGGAGCTCACAGGAGCTCATCAAACATTCATTATAAACAAACCAGCTGTTTATATTAATAGCAAATACACAAATCTTAAGAGTAAATTGTAATGGATTCCACATGTGAGGTGAAAGTACACTCTATCCACTGCAGAATGGTTCAGGAAACTGAATCCAGTGCTGCAGACTGGATTTAGAAAGACAGAGCCTTTAATTCTTCCTTGGGTACTATGATTTATCCAGGCAGATCTCCACTGTGAACAGCAAAAGATCTTTCACCAGCACTTTGTTTCTAACTCATGACATCCCACCTGCTTGGATAGTTTAATTTTTTTTATTCTCACCTGATTCAATAACAGAACAAAAATTCCATTCACTGTTCCATCAGAGCAGGTTGAACTTGCAGGGCCCATATTAATTTAGTGGAGCCTTAAGACAAATTTCAATCTAAAGCATGTCATTTATCACATGTCTGGTAGGAATTAAGAGGGCAAGAAGAATCAAAACCACATTTAATGGGGTCATGATACCATCCCCCTGTTCAGACTTTCCATTTTAAAATCCAGGGGTTTTTCCCACATAACGTCACCATGCACCATTATGTGCTCCCCCAGACACAGCACCTCTTGCTGCAACAATTAGCAACAATTCAGAGAGAAAACAGCAGTTAATTAGCTCAGGTTTTAGGGTGATACTCAGGGGAAACTCCTCATTACACATTCCTGCTGCAGATTAACACAGACAGTGAGTTTCAGCACAGTTGAGCCTGAGCAGTGCAAGCACCTCAGCAGAGCAGAACCAGAGAGGCCACCCTGGCACCAGAGCACCCACACTCCTGTGGGATCTGTTTCAGCCTATCCAGGAGCTGATTTAAACCAAGCACAGGAGCTGGGCAGTGCCTGCCAGTCTGTGGCATTCACATTCTATGAACAGAGAGAGAAAATTCTCCCTCACAGGATTTTTCCTGGAGAAGCACA